TTTTTTCACTGAAAGGGTTCTCAGCCATTGGAATGGGCTGCCCAGGGAGGTGGTTGAGGCACCATCCCTGGAGGTGTTCAAAAGACAGGTTGATGTAGTGCTGGGAGGTATGGTTTAGTGATGATGCTCCTTGTTTGTTGTGTGGGTGTCTATTTTTGTCAGTTAGGTTGACGGTTGGACAAGATGATCTTTAAGGTCCCTTCCAACCTAGAAGATTCTGTGATTCTGTATCATACTCCAAGGTCACGGAAGGGTACACATAAGCAGTTATCTCCTAAACGACTCCCATCAGTGCAGTGAGTTTCTGGGACTGTGGAGGCTGTTGGCAAAGGGTGCTCTCATCCCCAGGTTACCCTATTATTACTCTGGCCGGTAGCAAATACTCTTAAGGAAGGGTCGGCACATGACACAATCCCTGTTTGGGAATTTTCACCATTACACTCAACAATGACAAAACGCCTAATGAATGGCAGAAGGGGAAGACTTCTCACCACCTAGACAACAGGTGGACTCCTCTCCTGAGCTGCAAGGTACCTGCTCCTCTTTTCAGGGTCCCTGTAGTGTAGGAAAGCACGTGAGCCACGAAGATTCCCGTAGAGGAGATGCTGCATGGAGCCATACAAACCTCTTCACCAGAAGTGCTGAGCAGGACCACGTTGCCCACGTTGTCACCCGTCACCACCGTACGGCAGCTTGCAGAAACATCAACACTGCAGTACCAGCAACTAGAAGGAAAGACACAAAAATCAGTGTGGCCTCCCATGGGCAGGGACGCTCTGGTTCACATCTCGTCCCCAACAAGGAAGACTGCAACAAGACCACAATCTCCTGCCTGATGGTGTGGGCCTGAGTATCAAGAAGGGGGATGGCTTATCAGCAATGCCTTCTGCTGGTGAAAGAACATGAAGTAACTTTCTAGTCGTTTGTGAAGTGCTCATTAAATGGAGTGTGACACATCGGGACAGTGGAACATAAAACAGGCTGAAAAGCCACTTGGTGCCTGGTCATGGACACACCTTGGGAAAGATCAGAACACCCTTGTGATGTGGACACATGTACAGAAGCGGCTTTAAAATCATGTTTTCCACAAAACATTGAAGCAGCGGTAAAGAAAAGACAAACAAGTTGGGTGGGAGTATCTACCTGCTTGAGGGTAGGAAGGTTCTGCAGAGGGGTCTGGACAGGCTGGATTGATAGGCTGAGGCCCATGGTATGAGGTTCAACAAGGCCAAATGCTGGGTCCTGCCCTTGGGTCACACCAACCCCATGATGGGCAGGGACGCTCTGGTTCACATCTCGTCCCCAACAAGGAAGACTGCAACAAGACCACAATCTCCTGCCTGATGGTGTGGGCCTGAGTATCAAGAAGGGGGATGGCTAAGGGTGCCGAGGTGGCTAAGAAGGCCACCAGCATCCTGGCCTGTTATCAGGAACAGTGTGGCCAGCAGGGTTGGGGCAGTGATGGTCCTCCTGTACTGGGCACTGGTGAGGCCCCACCTCGAGTGCTGTGTCCAGTTCTGGGCCCCTCATGACAAGGAAGACATTGAGGGGCTGGAGCAGGTCCAGAGGACAACAGAGCTGGTGAGGGGTCTGAAGCACAAGTCTTGTGAGGAGAGGCTGAGGGAGCTGGGGGTGTTCAGCCTGGAGAAAAGGAGGCTGAAGGGAGACCTCCTCACTCTACCTGAAAGGAGGTCATAGAGAGGTGGGGGTTGTTCTCTTCTCCCAAGTAACAAGTGATAGGACAAGAGGAAATGGCCTCAAGTTGCACCAGGGGAGGTTTAGGATGGAAACCTGGGGTCTTGGTCGACAGCCAGCTGAATGTGAGCCAGAAGGGTGCCGAGGTGGCTAAGAAGGCCACCAGCATCCTGGCCTGTTATCAGGAACAGTGTGGCCAGCAGGGTTGGGGCAGTGATGGTCCTCCTGTACTGGGCACTGGTGAGGCCCCACCTCGAGTGCTGTGTCCAGTTCTGGGCCCCTCATGACAAGGAAGACATTGAGGGGCTGGAGCGGGTCCAGAGAAGGACAACAGAGCTGGTGAGGGGTCTGAAGCACAAGTCTTGTGAGGAGAGGCTGAGGGAGCTGGGGGTGTTCAGCCTGGAGAAAAGGAGGCTGAGGGGAGACCTCCTCACTCTACCTGAAAGGAGGTCATAGAGAGGTGGGGGTTGTTCTCTTCTCCCAAGTAACAAGTGATAGGACAAGAGGAAATGGCCTCAAGTTGCACCAGGGAAGGTTTAGGATGGATATTAGGAAAAATGTTTACACTGAAAGGGTTATTAAGCACTGGAACAGGCTGCCCAGGGAAGCAGCTGAGTCACCACCCCTGGCAGCGTTCAAAACACAGGTAGCGCTTAGAGACATGGTTTAGTGACGGGTTTTGTCAATGTTGGGTTGATGGTTGGACTAGATGGTCTGAAAGGTCCCTTTCAACCGAGGCAGTTCTATGATTCTGTGACTGAAAAGCTGCACATCCAACTGTCTCAACTTCATACTCCAGGAAACAAAACTGAATAAAGACTTCTCTGATGAAGACATACATCTTAACACCAGCTCTGCTGGGAGGGGAAAGGTCCCTTTCAACCAAGGCAATTCTATGATTCTGTGACTGAAAAGCTGCACGTCCAACTGTCTCAACGTGAGTCACCACCCCTGGCAGTGTTCAAAACACAGGTAGACACAGCACTTAGACATGGTTTAGTGACAGGTTTTGTCAGTGTTGGGTTGATGGTTGGACAAGATGGTCTGAAAGGTCCCTTTCAACCAAGGCAATTCTATGATTCTGTGACTGAAAAGCTGCACGTCCAACTGTCTCAACTGAATAGAGACTTCTCCGATGAAGACATATGTCTTAACACCAGCTCTGCTGGGAGGGGAAAGGCAGTGAGAATAAAGCTGGGGTCCTTTGGGAACTTGTTGGGGGGAAAGCTTCACTTGCAAAGACAAATTATTCTAGAATTCAAGGCCATGGAAATTAGCACGGTGAGCCTGAAGCCTCTCGTCCAACTGTCTCAACTGAATAGAGACTTCTCCGATGAAGACATATGTCTTAACACCAGCTCTGCTGGGAGGGGAAAGGCAGTGAGAATAAAGCTGGGGTCCTTTGGGAACTTGTTGGGGGGAAAGCTTCACTTGCAAAGACAAATTATTCTAGAATTCAAGGCCATGGAAATTAGCACGGTGAGCCTGAAGCCTCTGGAAGGGCACCAGGGTAAACTCAATAACCTGAAACTCAGATTGTGCAGGAATGTGTTGTGACTTTCCTATGCTACCTGAGCTGCTACAGACAAAGCAGAGCAGTGAGGACAATGAGGAGGAGGAAGTTATCCTGCTCTCCTCACCTCACACTTTATTAAGTGAAAAGCTGTCTGTTAAATCCACAACAATTTATGTCTTTTAGATAACTATTCTGTCACCCGATGACCCTTCCCCACCCAGGGACAGTAACTGGAAAAAAACAAGGAAACCCGAGGGTTGACATATAAACAGATCTAACAGAGTAAGACTAGCTAATTCACATTAATACTACTAAAGAACCAGTGCTGATCCCAACACCAATACAAAATATACAAGGATTATACTCAGCCAATTCTATCACAGGGAGCTGTGCACCCCCAGCAGAGGACAGCAAATGTGGGACACTGCAAGTGCCATGGCTTCAGGAGGATGGGAAGGGCTCAGGGGTTCGGCACCGGGGTAAGAAGCTCTCAGGATGGCAGCTATCAAGGAAGAGAGAGAACTTCCCAGCAAACTTTCTCATTTATACTGCATGTTCATGGTATGAAATAATCCTGTTGGCCAGCTTGGGTCAAGTGCCTGGGTTTTGCTCCTCCTCATCCCTGCACCTGGCTAACTTGAAAACACTGAGACCTTGAATCCCACATACCATAGCTGGCTATAAAGTAAATATTTTCACAAATTCAAGCACCAGAGTCTTCTAGAAGTGCAGTTTTCCCAAGCATTAGAAGAGAAATGAGTCCTGTGTCTCTACCAGGACACTGTCAGTACCTGCAAGACAGGAGATGGCATCACCAGAAAGCAACCCCAGGCAGCATGCTCAGCTTCTTTAAAAGCCTAAGTGCCCAGTTGCTGCCTGGCTTGTCACCCACCCTGCAGTGCCAGGGTCAGGACCAGGAGCCCTGTCTCCAAGCTCCCTCACAGAACCAATTCATACCAAGAGTCTCCTAGCACTGGCAAAGATGAAGACGTTAGAGGGCACAAGAAGCAGCGCAGCGTTAACCCCAAGGAACAGCGAATCAACCCTGCAGTGCTCCCTTCTCACCAAACATTATGGTGCTCATGGCCACAGTCCGGGGCACGGGAGATCACCTGCACCGCTCTGCCCTCAAGGTCCTGCAGGCTTAGGGTGCCATCCCCTGATGCCACATAAAGCTTCGCTGCCTCATAAGGACTGAACTTGATGTCTCCGAGAGAATCTCCTGGCCCTTTCTGGAATACACACAAAGCCAAGAGGCATCAAGGTTAGAGTGGAAGACAAAATCTTAACACAATATTCATCTCCTGGAACACACTGCCAGCTTCCCTAAGTACAACGCACTGCTTTCTGACAGGGCATGTACCCAAGAACTCTTTTTTCCTAATCTGTTTCCAATCTGAGCACAGACATTCTGAGCCTGTAAGTTCAACCCCACCACTTTGGCCTGCAAACCTCATTAGCAGCGTTGCTGCTTCTGCTATGGGGGTAGGATTAACGTGCAGTAAACCTCAAACTAGGCTTAGATCACAAGGAAAACCAGCACCATTCCATGCAGAAACCACATCTTCTGCTATGGGGGTAGGATTAACACGCAGTAAACCTCCTGGCTCAAACTAGGCTTAGATCACAAGCAAAACCAGCACCATTCCATGCAGAAACCACATAAAATCTCATGAGAGCCCTGCACTGAGCTTTTCTTACAGAGACTTCGTTCACCAGTTCCCTAAGGCTGATTCCAGTGCTGTATCTGGTCTTTCTCAAGGTACCAGCAGGCAGGATGAGAGCAGCACAAGAAGAAATCCTACTGCTAACGCCATGGCACAGGCATCTTACGTTCTGTGTTATGTTTTATTGTTGTTACATTATGTTGTTTTGTGATGTTGTTTTCCCCCAATCTGTCTACTGAGGAAATGTGGAAACTCTGCACTAAAACAGAAAAGAAGGATAGTAGCCGTGAGTCCCCCAAATTCTTTGATACTCAAGTGCACTCCATCTGCTGCTCACAGAGCCACTACTTAATAAAGCCTCACTGTAAATACTAGACTTCCAGAAGCCAATGAGGATTAAAAAAGGCAAAGAGCCAGCCTGTCCTCACAGCAGTAGGAGGATGACACGCTCTTTCAAACACAGGCATCACTGCTGTGACAGGCATCCCACCGGGATACGAGACCCTTGTGTCCCAGGACTCAGTCCATCCCTCCTTGCCCACCTGGCCAGTCATCCCAGCACTAATTGGGTTCACTTTCTGCCCTATTACAAGGTTGCAGCTGGAACAGCCACTTGGGAAACCAACCAGGAAAGTTGCCACCCAGGAAGAATCAGGTGGGGCAAAGTAAAGTGGAGGCTAACCCAAATTCCCTCACTTACCTTTACACATTGAACTGAAGTAACTAATTGTAGAGCTCAGGCTTCCTCAGGAGTCCACAGAAAAAGCAACAGTCTGAGAGGGTGATCCTAAGCACAGGCAGACAAAGTTGCCTCTAGCAATTCATCTCCTCTTTCTACTCTTTAGTGAAGGAGCCCAGACTCTTAAATTTTGGCATTTTAGATAAGCACCAGAAGTTAGGTGGGATGAACTGGGGTGATCCTTATCACACACACAACTTGAGGTCAGTGGCGTTTGTGGAGAAGCCCTGAGGGGACTATAAATTGTCCTGTATAAACCATATGACAACGAGCAGCGCTGCTACCAGGTTCCTGAGGGCACGGAGCTACAGGAGATTTAAGAGCAGAGAGCTCAGGAAACCCACTGGCACCCCCACGCTCATCAAAGAGTCCCTCCCCATCATGAAGAAAACTCTCTGGTATAACGGGAAGTAAGCAGCATCAAAGAGTCCCTCCCCATCATGAAGAAAAGCTTTCTCCTACCCACCACCCCCATTTCAGGGAAAAATAACAAGGGAGAGTGAGCCTCCCTGGAAGAGAGAGGATCCCTGAAATACAGAGGATAAAGGACATGTGTGTGGAGAAGAGGAAGCCCAGCTCTCACATGTCAGAGTCAAACACAACGTGCTCTCTCTCTTTCTCTCTCTATTGCTCCTGCCAGCAGGACACAGAGGCCCAAAGCATTGCTGTATTTCTTACTCCCAGTCCTCGGTGCTGGTGAAGACCCGGACAGTATTGCCATTAAAATCCTGCAGGGTGGTAGTGCCGGCCACTGACGAAGTGTACAGCTGACTAGGGTTAAAAGGGTTAAACTTCATTCCTGTGATGGCCCCTCCAGCTCCCATCTACAAGGAAGGGGATGAACAAAAGAAAAAGCCACTGAGTGATGGGGAAGGAGAAAAGCGTGTTCTGTCAGTCTGCATTCACTGCTAATGTCCTTAACAGCAACAGTGAAACACACCACAGCGCTTCAAGGAGGCAAAGACAACCTTGTCCTCCCCACCATGGCTGTCTAGACAGCAGCCCTCCCACAGGACAAGATGGGAACTCCTTCAATCCCCAGGCAGTGTATTCCCTGGCTGGCTGGCACCACAGTATTTACAAAAAAGGGAAAGATGACTCTGGAGGATAGACCTCCTCTCATTGTATGCCTATGTTAATTTAGACAGGGGATAAAAGTTACGGAGTCTTTGAGCCCCTGTCAGAATGGGAATGGCTGAATACAGCAAGGAGGGGGCACACCAGCTATAGAAACCATTCACTCTACCTTAGTTTAAGATAAAGGGACTTTGTTTTTCCCCACTCAAAGCTGTTTCCTCATCTGACAGAATCAAAGGTGAACAGAGAAAGATCACGACCTAAACCAGACGGACCCTCTCTGCCTGCTTGTTTCTGGCATCCCTGTAAGATAACTCTTTTCCCAGTGGCTGTATTACTTTTCCACTGAGCACACCCCAAGTACGGCTTCGTTATGAACTTAATCGACACGCCTCAGTTCTCCCCAGCACTGGGGCTTAGGAACAGACATGCTGTTGCATCTCAGTCCTGCCCTGCAGCTGCCTCTTCTGCAACCCAAGACCCTCATGGGCCTCTCCGTTTTGATCTGCAGTATTTGGTGGTGCTCCAGTTCTCCCTCCCACCCGTTCCACGCACCCAGAGGCTTACCCCTTTTATGAAGCAGGTTTTAGTAAGTACTTCATGGTCCCAAAGGATGATGTCTCCGCCTTTAGAACCAACAGCTACAGTACTGGGGTGTGTTGGATGCCATTCCAGGCATGTCACTCTCCTGTCAAAGGGACTTGCTGTTCGAAAGAGTCGGTATGAGGCAAGAGAACGCACAAAGGGCAGCTGCAGACACTGTTAAAAAGATAAAGATAATTATGACTCTTGCAGAGATCCACAAGATTATCTGAATGAAGAGTGGAGTGCCAACAACTTCTAATTGCCATCAGTGCTGGTACATTCACGCAAAGTTAAAAGCCTCTCTGTAGAATGAAGAGAACACGCTGTCCCCAAGGGAAACAGCCAGTGACCACACAAATCCACATCAGCCACAGCACCCAGAAAGCAACAGAGAACTGAGAGATATCACACTTTAAATGACATTTAAGCCTCAGGGGAGCTAAGCCTCAGGGGCTGAGCTAAAAAGGCAGGATATTGTCATTCAGCTGAGGAATAGGTACTGCTTGGATGAGCTTGGTGATTTCTTTATCATTGGGATACTTAAAATAGATAAATAATCTGGAAAATAAAGCTAGTTCGGGTGCTTCCCACATATGGATGTTACAGAAAAATGAAAGAAGGAGTATAGCTCTGAAGTATAGTAAAACATTATGGACTTAACTCTTCTGTGAAGAGGAAAAATCAACACTAAACCTGACATAATTAACAAAGTAGAGTGGGTACAAAAATAGCACGACAAAACAGTCAGAGGAGCATGCAAAAATAGCACGGTGCAGTAACTCAACTGACAGAGTGGGTAAGTTTAAATATGATTCAAGGAAGCACAAAATTAACAGAGGATAAAATGTAGAGTGACAGGGCTGAGCCAACCGAAAGGGAAAGTCATCCCAGCTCTTGCTTTTTACAGGATTAAGAAACATAAGGGTGTGCCAAACATGGAGCCACAAACTGCGTATGTGAGAAACCTGAAGCCCCTTTAAAGTTTCCCCGTTTGCGTTTAAGATGTTTTTATCTACAGAGCTGAGATGTCCGACAAGTCATGAAGGAGAAACTCCTCACCCTTCTGAGCTGTGCCCGAATGGAGCCTCCCAGCATGTTCTGGTAGACATAATGAACGATGCTGCACTGCCGCTCCAGCTGATGGAACAGGACTCTGTTATTTCTCACCACGGATCCACATCCACTCCAACCTGCCAGAGAGAAAAAGATTAACTTACTGAGAGCCAAGGCCCGTCACACTCATGCACAGAACACCACAGGAAGATGTCTGCACTCGCTGCCACGTTCATGAAGAGCATCAGCCACAAGGCAAAAGTCTCTAAATGATCCTGACATGTCGAAGGTGCAGCAGCCTCTGCAATCATGGAGTCTTGTCCACAGCCTGCCAGAGCTTTGTGTACACTTCCTCTCCTTAAACCTTCCTTCTCCTCGCCAAAGATTTATCAAAAAGACAACAGGAGAGGCCTACAGCAACGCCACAGGTGGTGCATCTCTCACACAGTATACAATTTGAATGGTTCATGCCCAAAATACAATGAAGCTATCCAAAGCCCCAACAACTTGGAAATACGCCCCGGGAGGTGGTAAACCCCTGGGTACAGCAAAGGGAAGGTCAGACGTGTGACCAGCAGAAAAGTCAACACCTGAAAATTCCCCGAGGCCAGCAACACGAGTTCCCACACCGTTCCTGAAACACCTGCTTGTGAACCAGAATTTTCGAGCTGCTTGTGCTGTAGCCCATACAGCCTGCCTACTGCACCACCAGTTTTGTTTTCCATAATAGACTTGCTGACACCTCATCGCCTGAAAACCTTTCTGTTCGGAGTGATTTTTGCTGAGAGTACAGCACGCTTCTACATTCTGTTCATGTTCCAAGTTTTTATCTTCAGGGACCTTTTACATAAAGCCCAGATCTGTTCGATCCCGTGTCTGTGATCTAATCACCCCCACGGCGATGGTCCCGTGACACCCCAGGGGATCTAGACATCAAATGCATTTCTGAAGAAACAAAAATGCTATTTTCATTTAAGGATACAAAAAAAATCAAAACAGAAGACGGAAAACATAGGGATCATTCCATAGGATTAGAACTTAAACAAAATCTTTCTTTAATGCAACACTGGAGCCTAGAAATGCACAGGTGCGAAACTAAACTTTTTTGTTCACATGCCAACATAGCACCGACACTCGCCACACCTGTTGAAATAGGTATAAAAGTATTTATATTCTAATTCCTTTCTTTCACGGAAGAATTAACATCCACAGTTCCTTCTTCAGAGGTGATGGAAATGGAATTTTTTTTTCCAAATTCTGTTTTATTATAAGGGGTAATTTATTAAGAAACAAACTTTCTTTCTTAATAAATTATTAAAATTAACTTTTTAGAAATGGCTTTTTTAGAATCTGCTGGAAGAAACCCTTTAAAAAGGTGTTTCCATTGCAAGAAAGTGCATCTGTCCTATACGGCTCAGAAGAATTATTTTTTTTTTTTCCAAAACACATAAAAATCAAAACTGGAACACAGAATAGAAAAGCTCAAATGCAAAGGTCTTTATCTTTTTTTAAAAAGGTTTAAGGGAAAAATATGATTGGCCTCTTTTTTCCAAAGTACTAGCTCTGAATTGTACAGGAACTGCAGATGCTTACCAAATATGAAAATTAGGCCATGGAGTTACAATGAAAATCACGTAGCTAAATTAAATAAACTACAGAAGATGCTTTAACTATCCACAGTTAATAGAACTCCTTTCAAATTGAGTATTTTGCTTCCACATTCACTGTTCACACTGCCAACTGCTCCAAGTTTGAAGTTTTACACCAGACAACAAATGTTACAAGATCTGAGGGGAGACCTTACCACTCACTACAACCACCTGAAAGGATTGTAACAGGTGGGTGTCAGTCTCTCATCTCAATTAACAGGCAATAGGGCAAGAGGAAATGGCCTTGAGTTGCACCAGGGGAAATTCAGATTGCATATTAGGAAAAATTTCTTCACCTAAAGGGTTATTAAGCATTGGAACAGGCTCCTAGGGAAGCAGTGGAGTCACCATCTCTGCAGGTATTTAAAAGACACAGAATCACAGAATTGCCTAGGTTGGAAGGGACTTTTCAAACCATCATCCTACTTAGGGACGTGGTTTAGTGGTGGACTTGGTAGTGCTAGGTTAACGCTTGGACTCAATGAGCTTAAGGGCCTTTTCCAACCTAAATGATTCCATGATTCTATGAAAATAGTCCTTAGTATAGCTGAAGCCAACACAACTTCCTTGACAATGCAAATCATTAACCTTTCCAGTGTCTTAGAACTTAATCACCTCTCCTCATCATATGAAAAATCTTTAAGAGATTTTTTTTAAGTTACGTACTAAAGAAAAAAAAAAAAACCTGCACAAGAAGTGATTTCTGGAAATTCTGTCCAGTCTAATCTGAACACAGAGGTAGGAAGTATTCCTACTTACTGTAGCAAAAGTTAGAATATGCAAAGAATCAGCTGCAAATACCAGCTTAGGCTGCATGCTGTAGGATTCCAACCTTACAACTATGAAACCCCGTTAAGAATTGCATGGGAGAAAAAAACCCAATGTATTACCAAGATTGGTCTGTCCTACAATAAAGCAGAAATCTGGTAATTCGGGAATTCCACAAATCTTAACCACCCTCAAATGAGCTGTGACAGCATCTTCCGTGAGCAGGCTTGTACCAAGGGGTAAGGAGTCTCAAAAATGAGACACACACACTCACAGGTACCTGGAGGATGTACTACCCGAGTACACGTCCGTGTATCACTTCAATATATAACCCCAACTGAACACCCATGCTTGAACACGCTTCTTGGCATTCTCCCTCTTCAACTAGTCGATGCCTGTCATTTAGGGTAAATCTGATTGGAAGAAACAGTAAGGATCTAAGGAAACGTTACCGATTTTCTCTGGGGGTTTGGATGTTTTTCTCACAAACAACTTCTTTGCTAGCGGCTCATTCCCTAGTTCCTCGTAGTCCGGTTTCCTCTTCCCAGTTGATTTTGCCTCTTCCGGCCAATGTTCACGTGTCCTCTCATGCTTCTTGTCCTTTGGCTGGTTCACTGGAGCCATTCTGTCTGACCACTAAAAGCAAACAAAGCACGGAAGGTAAGACTGTCATACGCTTATTTTAATGAGAAGACAGAAAAACTGGAATGAAACATATCCCAGTGGTCTGGAAGTAGCAATTATACCTGTACCCTCTTTCACCAGCATGACACTAGCTTTTTGTTGTGCTCTGATGAAGAGGGAACAGGTTCAATAAACTCTTCTTTGTTCACATATGAAAATCAACGTATCCTAAAGCACTAGAATATGTTTTGACAGATGTGCTTCTACCGAACTCTCAAGCTTAAAACCCACAGATCTGCATAAAGTACATCTGTGAAACCACATAATAGCCTAACTGTTTCCCTGGCAGCTCACACTGAGCTCTTTAGATCCAGCTAAGAAAAAAGCCAAGAGCTTTTACGACGGTGGCCGAGGCCCACTGGTCTTCCACCAAAGACTTTCAAGAAGGTGCTTCCCACTTAACGGCCACTTTTTCCTCATAACCTGGCTGCCAACCACGCCGGAACGGCTCTTCCCAACCACACTGGGATGCAGCGACTCGTGTCTCTGCTAAACCGGCGCCCAAACGCCACCGGGCCCCCTCGGAAAGGCTCGGGGCCTGCCACAGCCATCCTCCTCCTCCTCCTGTGCCTCGCACTCCCCCCGCAGCCGCAGATCCCCCCCGAAGATCCTCATCCTAGCGCTAAACTCACTTATAATCCGCGAATGACTGTGGCGGATGCGTTCAATATACCCCGGCGGGCACCGCGCAACCTCCTCCACCGAGCCCCCCCACCCCGCCCCGCCGGGCCTGGCCTCACCCGGCCCCGCCGGGCCCACAGGCCCAGCCCCGGGCCCGGCTCCCCCGCGGCCTGGGCGGGTAAGGGCCACCCCGCTCTCACCTGAGCCCCGGCGGCCTCCTCTTCCCCGCCGCGGCCGAGGACGGCGGGAGGCAGCCGGCCCCTCCCCCGCGGTTTCATAACCAGGGCGGGAACCCGGGGGGGGGGGAGGTTGATGGCAGCGGCTCCCGCTGAGGCCCCGCGGGAAAAGCTCCCCCGCCGCCCGCCCGCCCCCGGGGAGCGGCAGGCCGGAGGCGCCGGTCATGGCGGCCCCCGCCGACCCCTCGCCGCTGAGGGGTAGGGGAGGGTCCGGGGATGTTGCCTCCCCACCTTGCCGCTGCCTTTTAGCCCCCCCGTCGGTATGATCGGCTCGGCTGGGGCGGGAGGCGGCGGGCAGGCTCAAGCTGGGCCCGTGGCCTGGCCCCAGACACTCTAAAGTTTGTGAGGTGTCCTCTGGCAGGTTATTGTTGGTGCTTTTGTCTTCGGTGCAGGGTTTGTAATCTTACATATTCATCAGTAAATTGGAAGAGGGGAGATTTAGATGAGATATCAGGGAGAAATTCTTTGCTGTGAGGGTGGTAAGACACTGGAACAGGTTGCCCAGAGAAGCTGTGGCTGCCCCATCCCTGGAGGTGTTCAAGGCCAGGCTGGATGGGGCTTGGAGCAACCTGGTCTGGTGGGAGGTGTCCCTGCCCGGGGCAGGGGGTTGGAACTGGATGGTCTTTAAGGTCCCTTCCAACCCAAACCATTCTATGATTCTATTATCAGCTTCTAGAGCACCAAACTGGCACAATAAATCTACACCGTGAGAGCCCAAAAGACAACCAAGAAAAAAACCCCAACCCACTATTTGAAACACAGCAGCTTCCACAAGAAGATGCACCTGGTGTTGGAACTCATAAAAAAAAATACACTTTTAAAGGCAGATTAAAAAGTCACAGCAAGATCAGCCCAGAGACAACCAGACCTTAGATGCTGAAGCAGACAAGAAAGGGGAAGGAAGAGCCCTGGCGGTACCAGCACATCCCCTGCCACCTGCGAAGGGGACTGCTGTCTGGTAGCCATCTTGCACAGGGAACCGTATCTCCAGGGGCTATAAGGTCCCATGCTTCAGGCCGATCAGTAACGACACTGAGTAATTAATGTCCGGTCACCCACGCAGCTGGCTATGAACCCAGGTCCTAAAATATCTGTACACAACTGCTCCTTGAATTGTGGGGCTTTAGGGTTTGGGTGTTGCGGAATGACATACACAAAAAATCATGACCACTGACAGACAACACAATCTGGTATTGAGCATACATGTCAACCCAATTAGCAAATCTTAAAAGTCTTATCAGGCATTTCTGTAATGCACAACATTCTTCTCAGAGCTATACACATTAGCAAAAAATAGCAAGAGGAGTAATTGAAAGTAGCACTTTCATTCTTCTCTCTGAAGCCTCCAAGGCTTAATTTCCAGGAAGGGAAACTAAAGAAAGATTATTCTTGACAGTGACCAACGGTTTTATCTATAGGTCTACAGAAGTCATCACCATTGGAGACAATCTGTAGAGTTCATCAGGAATCACCAACAGAACACAAATTACATAAATCTTAATATCTTTCGGCTTTCATAAGCTTTTAAAGGGGTACACTTCAAAATTTGTAAATGAAAAAAGGGGCCCAGATACCAACCTTCTTAATGGACACTAAAAGACTGTATGGATTTCAATGTTCTATGTATTAATACTAAAGAAAATTCTGGCACTATTATCCAAGTTATCTCCAGCGAAGATGAGCACCCTCTGTCCCTGCCCCACTTCTCTCCCAGCAGTAGTGTCCCCCCAGAGCACACACACCATAACCCAGCGTTTCCCTCTTAGAGCTATCATGGGGAGCATTTTTTTCCAACGGAATGGAATGGAATATTTCAGTTGGAAGGGACCTACAACAATCATCTAGTCAAACTGCCTGACCAAAAGTTAAAGCATGGTATTAAGGGCCTTGTCCAAATGCCTCTTAAACCCAGATGGATGGCTTGGTGCATGGACCACCTCTCTTGAAAGCCTGTTCCACTGTTTGACCGCCCTCTTGGTAAAGAAATGCTCCCTGGTGTCCAGTCTATACCTCCCCTGGTGCAGCTTTGAACCATTCCCATGTGTCCTGTCACTGGGTACCAGGGAGAAGAGCTCAGCACCTTCCTCTCGGCTTCTCCTCCTCAGGGTCACCCCCTCAGCCTCTTTTTCTCCGAGCTAGACAAGCCCAAAGTCCTTAGCAGCTCTTCACTGGACATTCCTTCCAGCCTTTTCACCAGCTTTGTTACCCCCCTCTGGACACATTCAAGGACCTTCTTAAATTGTGGGGCCCAGAACCGTACACAGTTCTCAAGGAGAGGCCACACCAACGCTAAATACAGGAATTTTATCAATTACCAACAGCAAGTTTGCTTTCTCTCTAGAGAATCACCAGATATTTTTGTAATTATTATTCAGTAGGGACAAGAATAGCAGATAGTACGCAAATCACTCACAGAAGAAATGTCACTGGCCCAGGGTGCAACAGCCCAGTGTCTGCACACTGTACGGTACACTGAGCAAGCCAGAGGAAGAGTAATTAATTTGAAAAAAAATATTCTTATATATTTACAGCCTCACACTCTTTGAACTACAGTATGCAGCAAAGTCATAATTACGCGTGGGCAGGGTATTAGGCTTGGTTTTACCATGCCTTTTGTCTGATGTACAATTATCTTGAGGCTCTGCCTTAGTTCTGGGACGTGGTTCCCTACCTCAGAATAAAGCTGTCTTGTCACCAGCTCTGGTAAAGCTGTGTTGTCACTAAGACCATCGACTTCACAGCATTTGTAATACCGTTAGGTATTCTGCCTCCTCGCCGCCAGAATCTTTTTTCCGAACTGTGAATATTTTTGGCTACTTCAGTCTGACTACCGATGTAAAAAGTACCATTACAGCAACCAGAGTTTGGCACGCACAGGAACACAAGCCTATATTCCACTAAAAAGAAGGAAAAAATGCATAATCCTAAAGAGATAAAAGACTAAATATCATGCCATCTGACCTCCTCCTATCCCATGATCATTACTAAGCTGCCCTGCACTAGGAAAATGAACAAAACTATCACTATTGTAATGATCCTGTTTCCCGGAGTATCCTATTTTCCATAAGCCGTTCCAGGCTTGGAGGAAAGGGCTGCAGCAGCCACGCTGTGTAGTCCCCTTGCCTTAACATCTGTACTGGGGACGGCCAGGTCCCAGATGGAAAGCATCTATTGTAGGTGCTCAGTGCTTGGGATATCAGTATCAAAACCAGCATGAAAACATAACAAGGGCAAATGCTGAGTATAGAATATTAATCATGGAATCACTGGAGTTGGAAGGGACCTTCTAGAGATCATCCAGTTCAACTCCCCTGCCAAAGCAGGGTTGCCCAGAGCACATCACTCAGGACGGCATCCAGGTGGGGCTTGAAGATCTCCAGAGAAGGGGACTCCACACCCTCCCTGGGCAGCCTCTGCCAGGGCTCTGCCACCCTCACCCCAAAGAAGTTCTTCCTCAGATTGGAGTGGAACTTCCCATGGTCCAGCTTGTGCCCGTTGCCCCTCGTCCTGTCACTGGGAACCACTGAAAAGAGTCCGGCTCCATCCTCCCTCAAACTCCCCTTTAGATCCTTGTCAGCATTAACAAGTTCTCCCCTCAGCCTTCTCTTCTCCAGGCTAAAGAGTCCCAGCTCTCTCAGCCTTTCCTCATCAGGGAGATGCTCCAATCCCTTAATCATCTTTGTTGGCCTACGCTGGACTCTCTCCAATAGTTCCCTGTCTTGTCTGTCTGTTCCCTGTCTGTCATAACGTATGACAGGCGTTTGCATTTTCTGTACTTCATTAGCATACATAAATTAGATAACGGAATTAAAATCACAGAATTTAATTGAATTAGAGAATATCTACCCCAAAGAATTGGGTTTGGTTTTGTTTTAGGGAAATACAAAGTTGGTGCTTATCTTTTCAACTATGATTAACTTTGAGGATAAGACAAGCATCTTGCACCTCTCTTTGAAAGGAAGCTCCTGGTCACACCGCATCCAGTGACCCATCATGGATGCCCACCTTCCAGGGATCCCACACAGGTAAAAGTGAACAGAAGATTGGCCTCAAAACAAATTAAGTGGAATAGTTTCTGATGTCCACTCTCCAGTTCATCTCCATGTATCTGAAGGGCCCCAGTACAGTTATTTTTCTGGCTCCTATGAAACTTGGGGCAGTTGTAAAGAGAGAGAAAACATCCCAGTCCTGCTCCAGAGATGCCAGAGCAGAGATTTATCGCCTGCTCTTTCCTCTCTTCCTCCTGCAAGGCTCTCAGTCTTTCCTTTCTCCACCGACTGAATAAACATCGCTGCAAACCCACAGCTGGACCTTGCAGTTGTGTCCCAAGTCACTTGGAAGCAGCGGAGAGGAGGTGGGCCAGCGAGGCCTCCCGGCGCTCCTCCCGCGAGCCCAGCCCCGGCGTCACGGGGAATCGCACCCGGGGGCTGGCGTTAGAAATGGAAAAGTCTGGCAGGCGAAATCCCTGGCCTTCAGAAAAAAGGCTCTGGTTGCAACCCAGAGGCTCTGAGGTCTTAGAGATGAGGCTTGGATTATTCAGATGAAGGTTTTCAGAGGGAAGGGAGGGTGACCAAACGGAGTCAGGAGAGTGACCAAAGGGAGTCAGGAGAGTGATCGAAGGGAGTCAGCGGCATCAGGCTGAGAGGATGCCCAGTGGAGGTGAAGCTGCTCTCCATCCCCAGGGAGAGTCACCTACACCACCTCAGAAGCCCACTTCTCTGCGTGGGTGAGAGCGGGGAGCCCCCTGGCCCGCCCGCCCCAGCCCACCAGGCTGCCTGTACCCCGGCACAACACAACCAACTCCAAACTAATTAAACCCCCCCAATCCAGAGGGCAACGCAGAGAACAGCCCAACCCCACGGGCTCGCCCGACCCTCACACACCCGGGGCCACCCCCCGACCGGGGAGAAGGCAGCCCCCAGCCCTCCTCCCGCCGACCCCAAGCCCTTCCCGTGGAGGGGGGGACCCGGCGCTACCTCCCCCGTTTCCCCCCCCTCCCTGGGCTGGGCAGAACCCGCTCGGCGGCGGCGGCTGCCCGTTAATTGGATCAAG